GCCATCCCCAATGATAATGACTGTGGCCAGAAATAAAAATCAGATTAAGTAGGATTTGGTGGTACAGGGGACCCCTTCAAGCTTTCAACTGGCAGGGGGACCAGAATAGATGAACTCAGAGCCCTGCTTTTGAATTCTTCTTTGAAGCTTTAACTCCATCATCTCAGGCTTCTTTCATTCCTGTTTTCTATGTTTAGTTCTGTCCCTTGGTTAGACCCTAGTTCCCAACATTTTATATATTCTTGTTTATCAAAACTGTGAATTAAGCTATATTGGTTTGTTTACTTGAGAGTTAGCTGTTGTGTGCAGGGAAAAAAAAAATACTAGTTTAAACTGGAATCAAGAACTTAGGGCCACAAGAAAAATAAATCAGAGCGAGAGAGGAAAACTGGATAATGTGGGATCACTTCACTGTTAGTCAGTCCTGGTTGGGGTTTTTCCCCCTGGTGAGTATTAAGACAGGCAGAGACTTTAAAAGATCAGAGTTCATGTTCCAACAGACAGATTTGGGCTTTTTAAATTACTGCTTTGATAAACTGCTAAGGAGGTAGCAAAGGAATAAGTGGATAGAAGAATAAAAGGGGTGATCATCTTTTTCTTCTTTTTTTCCCCCTACAGCACCGGCATTAGAGCAGCTCCGTTTGCACCACATGTAGGCTCATTTACCATGACTAATGGGATTAATGTACTACATTTCATAATGCTGATCTCTTTGGCAATTTGAGAAAAACTCAGAAATGGATGGCTGTATAGATTATCTAAAAATACTTATCACAACAAACTGTCAAGCAAAATTTCTCTTAAAAAAAAAAAAAGCCTTGAAGAGACTTTCTAGAGAAGCAAAGAAACTTTTCAGAATTCTAAGAAAAGAGCCCACCCTCCCTTCTTCTCAGTTTGGGTGAATGCTTAATCCTCTCAGATGTTTTCCGCTGCTGAATGCTTGTCTTATGTGCAGTTTAAGATGGTGTTTAAAATTTTCAAAATTCCTTCTACAAGTGTATTCCTATTTCCCCTAAAAATGGGCTCAAACTGATATTAGAAACTGGCACAGATGTTAGAAATTCTATCCTCTTTCCAGAAAAGGACCAAATATGGGTGTGAGATAATGTCCCTATTTAGCAAATTCTTATTTCCTCCCCCTGATTCTAGATATAATTGTCAGCATGCCCATCAAAGTGGGTGGACATCACACACAACTCTCCCGCCCATCACTCTCCAAAAGTTACGTGGAGATCCTCCCCAATGCAGGATGTCTGTAAAATTATCTGCAATCAGTTGCTGCTTGTAACATTTTCTATTCTGAATCAGGGGAGCATTTTGCTGTGAAAACATAGACAGCCAATGACCTAATGCTATGCAGAAGACTTTAGAAATCAAAGCTTGATTTATGTCTTCATAAACCACAAACACTTACATGCAGGTGACACTAACTATCAAATGCTAAACCAAAACTTTTTCTATTGTTATAATTGTTTTTTATTCATTGCTTATAAAAATAATCTGGAAAGGAAAAAATAAGTCATCTATGCTCAAATTAAATATGCAGCCTCATGTCATGCATTAACCAAAAATATTTTGCTGTAAATCAAATAATTTAGAAAAGTCACCTAGGTATTCACTTCATAAAAGGTGTCTGTGTTTGTTTGGTTTATTTTCACCATGATTAGTGGCACACTTTGTATTCCCATCTGACAGTTGACCTCAACATTTCAAACAGAATTGAGTGGCTCTATTTTCATTCTGATGAGAGTTTTAAAACTTGCCACCTAAAATCTAAATTTCTAATGTTCATCAAGGTTAATAAATAACTTCTCATAAATCAAGGATTATGTTTTATTTTAGAGCACACAATTAAAACAAAATAATTTTGGAAGTAAAATATCATGAATGTTTGAGGAGATAAATCTTTGTAAAACTTTCACTGACACACACCGTCAATATTCTCTTCTGCTAGCATGGAAAATATATATTTTTTAAGCCCTCAAATTATTCTGATTTCCTAAACTCATCTCAAATCTCCTCTTACAGTGTTATTTAAGTTTCTTGTTGCCCAAATGACTTAAAACATATTTTGTATTACAAACAATAATATTTCCACATTGGCCAACTTTGAGAATGCACATTTTTAAAAAATCTTACAAGATACTAGTTATATGTGTCTATAACACAGCTGATCATCTTTACTGGTAATGCTAACATTGTCCAGGGGTTGGGAGGTAGACACAGATAGAAAGGCTATGGGTGATTTTGAACTGAAGCTAAGAATGTAATGATAAGAAAACTAAATAGACCGGATTAGAACAGAAGTACTCCACCGAAATTAACCTTAGATGCAAACTTCGTTAAGTACTGAGACTGGCTTCCATAAAACAAACACCAAATTCGGTCTCAATATTCATCATCACAATTCATGTATTTAGCTACTTTAATGTAGTATATGGCAGTTCTCTTAAGACCAAATGAAAAGTATACAAACATAAATTGGTTTTTGTTCTGAACGTTGCTATGTTTTTACCAAAGTCATTGACTTTACCCAAAATGAAAGCCATTACTAATAAAAATGAGTAAACACAGACATTAAGAAGTAAAAAAAATTCTTGTAATCCTTAAATGCTATGCAATGTGAAGAAGATTGATGTCTCCATGATTTTGAAAGAGATCAAAACTTCTTTTACGAATTACATAATGACCTCACTAAAATAACAAGAAAAAAATGGAGGCTCCCTTGTAATATTTAACACCTATTCCACTAGAAGAGAATTTCATCTAGAGCTCTAGCTCACAAAATTCCCCAAAACGAGAAGCGGACAATTCATTTTGCAGCCAAGGGCAGTCTCTCCGCTATATTTTCTCAAAGATGGCTGATGCAAGCAGCAGCTCATAACTACATAAAAATGGTTGCTCAGATTTAATTATGCAAATGTAGTTTCAAAATAACCTGCTCAAGTTTCAGTGCATTAAAGATGGACCTGCAAAGCATTTGCCATGATATGCCTGGTTCCAGCGGAATTCCAGTGAATACTGAGTGGAGCACAAACCCCAAATCATCCTCATAAAGAAAGATCTGAAACATAAGCGCACAAACGTCAGATCCCATGGGCGCATTCGCCAGCCTTGGACCTGGTCCCTGAACACCGATCTATCACTAACGCAAAACCAGGCAGTGCTGTCAGGTGCTTCCTGAGGCATCCATCCTGGACTGCAAGCAGAAGGGGCCATCTTTGAAAAGCTCAGTCTTGATTTTCAAAATAAGATATCCCAGAGAAGGATTTTCAAGATGGGAGATGAATTTACCAGGTAATTTATTTATTATATGAGGTAATTAAAATATACTTTAAATGATCCATTTCCACAAAAATTATTTTCAATCTGGCAACATTTCATAACCAGACACCCACTGCAAAGATTTTTCTGTGAATATAAAGTTCCTCGTTTTGTCCTACTTAAAGGCAAATGACAGAAAAAATGCAGGGTGATTTACAAAACCAAAGCAATTTCAATAAACTTAATATGCACCCTGATTTCAAGCCACAAGACACTGGCTTGATAAGAAGCACATCAGATGTTTCCAAATTAATAATTGGTCAAATTGCATTTTTTTTTTTTCCGTCAGTAAACTTTAGGTTTTAAAAAGCTTTTCTCTGTTGGCTTATATTTCTGTTAAGGACTAAAGAGAAATTTTAAATAATAATGTACATAAACTGTTGATCATATTTAGCGTTAGCTGAAATAATTTGCAAAAGAATAAGAAAAGAATAGCAATATGAAATATCTGTTATTTTCAAATAGTTGGAAACTGTTCTTAGTTGTAGTTATATAAAATACCAAATAAGAGCAAAAAGTTGTCATAAATGAAGCTTTGGGATTCCACCAGTCAAAAATAGGGAACCATTTTGTTCTGAAATATGATACCAGCGTTCTTTGATATCAAACTTGAATTTTCACTATTACTTCTATTATATGTCAGTCTTCAAAATGACAAATATTTAACTGCCATTTACTAGTGTTTACACTCATCGCTGGTTATTTACCTTCTTATACTTTAACGTGTTTACATAACTCAAAGCATCAATCCGGAGGCGCTGGGGAACTCTGCTCTGTCCGATGGGACACATTGCTGTATTTATGTGCATTTATCATTTTTTCAGTTTCACGGAAGCGCCCATCTTTCACTTTCCTACACTTCTTAAACTACTTTTGATGACTTCATTACAAGCTGAATAAATACTTAGGTGTCTAAAAATCCTTCAAATAAACCAAAATCCTAGGCCTTAAAGTGTCAACAAAATCTCGAAGGAACAAACAGAAGCAAACACGCTTGTCTTATGTTTATGTCCCCTAATAGGCTGGAAGAGCTTCTCAGGCCTCTTTACCATCAACCTACTCACGCATTGGAAAGGCCAACTCTGAAAACTCACGGCTCAAGTCGCACGGTTCACCCGACTCACAAGATGGTAGCATTAATGGAAAACGGTAGTGCAGCTGAGAATTCTTCGCAGGGGCCTTCTTGAAAAGTGTCTCTACTTCCAGGGCAAAGCAAAACGTGTTGTTCGCAATCCCACATCTCCCTTCCCACCCCAATGTCACTGGTTGACTTCAGAGGCCACATTCAGGGTAGTTTCGTTCGTGGCGGCATTTTACTTGCACACACACCCTCACGCACCACTCTGCACACATTCCAGCGGCCTCTTGGGACCAGAAAGATGAAATACAGTCTCTGGGCCATTTCCCCCCAATTTGAGCTACTTTAGTTCAAAATATCCAGTAACATTCCTGAAGAGAAAGGGGATAAGGAAAAAAAAATTACGTCCCCCAAATAACTTGGCTCCCCTTTCCCCAACCTCACAAAAATCCAGAATGACACAGCCCAGAGAGAGGGCAAGGAAACTGCAAACGCGAGGGGGCCAGGCGAAGTCTAGCGGGGACGCGAGATGAAGCCGCAAAGGGGTGCCGGGCGTGTTCGTAGCGCGCTCCGGTCCCTGCGCCTTTGTCCCTCTTACTTTTGGATGATCTGCGGCAGGCCGGCCGGCGGCGGCGGCGGCGGCTGCATCCCTCGCGGGCCCGGGGGCGCCTGGGCACCCGACACGCTGCAGGCATCTCTGTCCGGCTGCTCCGGACCGCTGGGGTCCGCGTCCTGGCTCATGGCTGCTGCCAGCACCATGCGGGGCGACGCCGGCCGGGGCTGGCGAAGAGAGAGCGCGCGGGAGGGGCGGAACCGGGGCGCGGGCGCTCACTGGCCGGGGTCCCCGTGCCCAGTCCCCTTGTCCTTCCCGGAGGCTCGGGGAGGAGACGCGAGGGGCGGGGAGGAGGCCGTCCCGGCGGCGCCGCCTCGGACGGCGGGAGCTGCTCCACCGCAGGGGCCGCTCGGCGCCCGCGTGGCCCGGGAAGCTCAGCCCGGCGACTCCGAGCGCAGCGGCGTGTGTCACGGCCACGGTGCGCCCTCGGGATCCGGAGTCGGGCGCTCCGCAGCGCAGCGCAACCGCGTGAGCCGGCGACACGCACGACAGCCCACCGCCCGCCGCCGCGCTGTCGCCTTTCCCGGGAGCCGGAGGCCTCGGGCTGTCCCCGGGGACGCCGCGCAAGGCCTCGAGCCGCTACCGCCAAGCGGGGCAGACGGAGCGACCCCGGGGCGTCCGCGCACATCGACAGTGCCAAGTGCCTCCGAGGTGGCATCTTCCCGTGGCTGGAGCCCGACCAGGGCCACTCGCGCCCGAGGGACGCGACCCCGCGGGGGAAAAGTCCGGGTCCTCCCTCAGGTCAGCGGGACTGGCCCTGGCGCTCTCCAAATTGATGGTTCAAGCTGCCGATTTCGGGGGTCCCCAGAAGCAGCCGGTGTGGCCGCCGTGGGTTTTCGTTCCTTTTTCTTTTCACTTAAAAGACCCCGCCACGACCCCGCGAGTGCAAACAAAAAACTGAGCATACGTTTTATTGTTGTTATTTATTGGCCAAATCCCGGTGGAAATGGAAAGGATGAAAGAGACTCGCCGACATCGTGCGGCCACCAGCGCTAGCGCCGAAGCTCGGTTAGTGAATGGCCAGGGCCCGCGCGCGTCCACCTGCGCGCACCGATTCCCGCTGCGGACGCTGAGCGGCCCCCCGCAAGGTGGGCCTTGAAGCCCGGCGCGCGGGTGCGGGTTCGAAGACGCTCCTAGCACCGCAGACGTCTACGAGCTCGGCAAGAGCAGAGAGTGTGGGTGCCCAGTGGACCTCACCGTCGGTCCGGCTCAGGGGAGTTCTAAGTCCTGACATCAGCAGCCCCGGGAAGCAGAGAAAAACGGGCCCCCGTGCCAGAGCGCACCCAGCCTGCCCCATGGCCTCCAGCCGACCCGCTCCCCTCCTGCAGCCACGCAGAGTGATATTCTGGCGACGGGTCCTCTGAGACCTGACAGCTAATTGCACTCCTGAAAGACGCTCTCTTCTGTCCCCAGACCGAGTTTCTGTCAGCGTCCCCGCCAGCCACTGAACACTAAGCCTTCGCTTCCCTTGATCTCTGCCACCCCACCTGGGAGAGTTTGCTGAGTCTCCTTTTCTCTTTTCTTGTCTCTTCCTTCTCCCCTCTCCATCTCTCCATTCTTTGACCTAAAATGATACTACCAAGTCCTTGTATTTGTAAAAACCAGATTGTCACAGGTAGCAAAATTGAATCTAAAAAAAAAAAAAAAGAAAAAAATGAGGAGTTAGGATGATTTGTCCGAGATCCATGGCTAGTAAGAGACCGTTGGAACAAGAGTCTTGTCCCCATCTCTGAATGGTTAGTTCATCCATCATTTTTAGTTTCTATCACCAAATTCCTGACTGGTTTCCTTAAAACTCCATCTCCCACCCCCCACACCCCCCACTCCCAGACTTCCTTGGTGAAGGAAATTACCTGAAATTAACACTGCAACTCTCCTAGAAATTAAAATGAAAACATTCTGTATGTTTGCATTGAAATCTCCCTTTCAGAATCCTCCAAAACCTTTGTGGAAAGGGGCTTGGTAGTCAAAAAGAAAGACCTGTTATTGAGTCCAGACTGCAATTGACCAGTGGAGTGACACAACCTGTCTGAATGTCATTTACCAAACATGTAAATTGGGAGAGATGAGACGCTGGTTTGCCGAGTCACTGTTAGGATTGCGGGTAATGGATCTTGCATGTTTGATGCAGGGGGTGTTTAATCTGGCAGCTATTACAAACATGATTATTTATATTCCAATCTTGTAGCCAAATAGAACAATGGACCTTACACTCCAGGAAGCCAATGGCCTGGAATTCTAAATATCGATATAATTAAGTCTATTCCCATAAGAGTTTTACTGCCAAAAAAAAAAAAAAAAAAACACCTATATTATATGGACACAGCCCTGTGCATATTAATAAGGCACTGTATTAGCATATGTGACAAAGAAACAGTGGGCAAATCTTGGTATTCATTGAACTTTTCTTGCATCTTTTCCGTAAGTTTGAAATTTTCAAAATTAAAAAACTGGAAAAAAAATGAATGACTCGTAAGAAATTTTTCAGAAATCCCATCTTCATGATTATAGCTTAATATTTGCAATGTATGTGTTATGTAATAACTGAAATTTGCGTTAGAGCAGATTCGAAAGGAGAGAGCAACGCTGCAACAAAAACCTCAAGCTAGTTCATGTCCTACCTCAGATCCCCACAAGATGTTTCCCAGGATAACAGCGAACAAGCATTTCCAATTTGCAAGTCAAACCCTAAAGGTATTAAGCAATTCCACTGAAAAAAATTATATCATTAATTTATGTTTGTTTTCTCACTTCTTTTATGAGTAATGAAAAAGCAGAGTAAAGCCCCTTAGCTGGGGTTGCAGCCCCTGCTTTTGTCTGCCCTGTGCCTTCACTGCCTTGCCCCCAAGGGTGTGCTTCACAGTTACTGAGAGGAGAGAAAGGCCATGTGAGTCACTCGACGTGACAAATGAGAAGTGTGAGTGGAAGGTGAGGTCTGGTCACATCTCTCTGTGTTCCACTCTGCAGACGTGCCCTGTCCCTCCTTGACCTACAAGCAAACTATGGTCAGGTGGCGAGGCTTTTGTTGTTTATGAAAACATCAAACATTTAACAAGAGTCAGCTGCTAAATAGATTATTATTATTTCATAGATTATCTTTCTTTATATTCACAAGTCACCTCAGAAGTAGCTCCTGTTATCTGTGTTTTATAATTGAGGAAACTGAGGCTCAGATAGCTATAAGAACTTGCTTAAAGTCACCCACCTAGCTTTCAAGAGGCAGAAGCAGGAGTGGAGGTAGGTCAGTCTGTTGCCAAAGCTGACCCCCTTCACCCCTCTCTACACTGCCTCAGTGACAGAAGTGGAGCTGAGATCGCACCTTCTTTTGCTGTGATGCTGCCTGTGTCTTACAATAAATATAAAATACTACCTGCATTGTGATTCAACTCTGCCACTCATATCTATCCAGATCAGTAAGTTGAGAGAAGATATCTAAGTTGACATCTTGAAAATAAGGAAATTAAAAAAAAAAAAAAAAAAATCGAAGCAACCTGGCAGGGGGCGGCAGGAAGGGGTGGGAAATAGAACCCAGGTCTACGTTATACTAGGGTAATTCTCAATGAAACTTGCTGGAGACTCTGGCATGCTGGCTTTTTTCATAATATTAATAAATTCTTACTGGATTCCATGTACTGGTTCCAGGAGCTTTCTCAAGGCTGATTTCACTTAATATCACCATTTTGCCTACAGAGAAGCTTAAATAACCTGTCCAATGTCACTGGGATAATAAGTAGCAGAGCTGAGGCTCAGACCCTAGTCTGAATCACTGCTATCCTCTGTCTTCTATTCAAAGGGGAAATAGACCACCTCTCAGGGTGATCGTGAGCATTCATCTCTGCAGATGAGAGCATTTCATATATCCTGTTATTCCACATATGTACACTATTACTGTTATTTTTTAGAAAATAAGTTTACTTAGTAGCTTGTAAAGCTTGGTAATACCCAGAGCTGGTGAAGTCATGGTACACAGACATTCCCCTGTGCTGTGGTGAAAGTATCAGTTACTGCAACATTTTTGCAAGTGAATTGGAACTTTATTTTGCAAGAAAATTGCAACAAGGGAAACTGACTCAGCAGTTACCCTTCTAAGAATTTATCCTATCAGTTTATTTGTAGCAATAATCAATCAAAGCTGCATATACAAGGGAGTTTATTGTGGTATTGTTCATTACAGCAAAAACTAGAAACAAGAGCAGTGGGAAACTGCTCACATAGAGATGGTCTCTTCATACAAGAGAATACAATGTAGCCCTTAAAACAAAGGAAGTAGATCTATATGAACTGCTAGAAAAAGATTTCCAAGATGTATTATTGTAGATCTTTTTTCTTTTCTTTGGTGGCTGGCCGGTATCAGGACCCAAACCTGTGACCTTGGTGTTCCAGGCTGTGCTCTAACCCACTGAACTAGTCGGCTAGCTCCTCCAAGATGTATTATTAAGGAGAAAATGCAAGTTCCTCAACAGTATTGTAGTATGACTAAATTTGTGTAAAATCAAAGAATATAGGAAATTTCTGGAAAAAATATACAGTAACTAATTAATAACAGTAAGTACCTCTGGGAATTGGGATAGGGCAGGAAACTTTCACTTTTATGACCTTCTATATTGTTTGAATATTTGAAATAAAATTTTATTGAAGTATACATACTATATGAATATTTTACAATGAGCATTGTTATTTTTTATTAACAACAAAACTTAATGATTTGTTTATCAACTAGTAATGGTGAACAACACTTAGTACATAGTAGGATGTTTATTTTTTAAATAAAAATTCATCTGAAAGAATGAAGGAGAAACACATTGGATAATGTATTGTCCAGACTTAAACACTCCGCTTTTGATTACTCTTTAACAACCCCAATAGATACAGTTAAACAATTAAATCAGTGATTTGCCAGCAGTTGTGTTGATACAGTTACAACCTACTAGTTTGACAATAATGGATACATATTAAGCAGCCTATCAACTTAGCCATAACATGTTAACTGTTATCTGGGTGTTAATAGTAACAGTTACCATTTCTTGAGTGTTACTTTGTCAGACTATCTCCAGTTAAAAATATTTCTCATTTAGTCCTCACAGCCACCTTATTAGTTGGTTGTTTTTATGCCCTTTACAGAAAAGGAAACTAAGGCTCAATGAAG